TGTATTTGCCTATATTTCTGGTGACATGCAAAATGCTTTGCTTCACAGACTTCTATGGAGGTGATTATAAGGGAAGATTCAATTTTAAAATTAATTAGCACATCAAGAGGCTTCAAAAGCCTTCTCTTCATTATGTGCCAGATCAGCACTGCAGAGTGAACCCTAGGTATGCAATATTATTTAAAAAAAAAATCTATGAGGTCTTCCCCCAGCAAATTCAGAGCTTTCCAGTGATGATCAAGAATTGGAGGTTAAGAAAATTTTATGTCACCTCTGATTTGCCGTCACTATGCAAGCTAGGAAAAATCTTATGTGGAAGTGCTGATAACTTGATTTCTACAGTTCTTCCAATTCTTCTTGTAAACAAATGTGTAACTTGCTTTTCCACTTTGATAGCCAGTCTTTCTTTCCCCAAAGACAACTAGCAACAAAAGGATTAAAAAGCTGAAATTAAATTAAAACACTGAGGTAGTACTTTGATTAAGATCTCAGTAAACAGGAAATAAGTACTCATATGAAATAAGTGATTCTTTAATTACTGCCATCTGAGATTATTTATAATTTTGTAGATTAAAACTATCACTGAATTATGTTTGGAAACCATTTTTTAACAGTGAGATATTTCATTTGGTAGATTCTGTTAACTACGCTGAGAATTTAGAATTTAAACTTTCAATAAAGTTTCATGTATCAATTGAAATTATGGATCAATAGCTCCAAATATTATTTCTAGCTACAAAATTGTTTTACTAACTATATGAAACTGTTGGAAGTTGTATCTAATAACTAGTACATGTAACTAGTACATGTACATTTAATCTATGTTTAGATTAAACTAAGAAATTCTGAGGATTTAATTTCTATAATAAAGTTGGATTTCCAGTGCATCTTAATATGTTTATTTCTGAAAAGCTGACATAGGAAAATAAAAATTTCATAACTTTGACATTCAGTCAGCATTTTCTATTTTTACAAAGAGGTTGTGAAAGTAAGTTTTGAAAAACAAAAAAGGGGTTTTAGCTTTATGTTCCATAATTAATGACATTTCCTTTGAAATGTCAAAGGAATATACAATATAATATATAATTATATTAACCACTTTATAATAGCACAATACAGTAAGCACAACCACTTGAAAATAAAATTTTCATCAAAGAATCCATGTGCTAATCCAGTCCTTGTTTCCAGTTTAAGATGAAGTAGTGTTACTTCACACACACCCGTAGATATAAACTGATTTTCAAAATATTTGACTGCTTATTTCCTTATTTTTTCTGGACTCTAATTTGATAAATTTGAGTATGTGTTTGATCTTGTGAATCCTGAGGAAGCAAATACCAGTTTGGACTCTGGGCCTTCCTGATTGGTGAAAGCCTACGGAGAGATAGTAGGAGCTAAGTTGGGACAATAGTGAATTCATCTTTGAGAGGGGAGGTATTACTACCCTCTTTGAAACCCTCCTCTTCAAGAAACGATCATTCAGTCTGGATATACCGGACAATTTTTGTGAGAAGGTGGCAGAGAAAATGGATGGATTACACAGTTATAGGTCATCTTTGATGAGACTGAGATAGAGGCAGAATGACCTTCATGCTTCTGTTTGATCTGTCCATGGCTTTTGATATCATGCTATCTTTTTGAGATATCTGTGGGAGTTAGGAGCGGGGGGAGGGGCGGCGGCATTGTTTTCTCCTTTCTGAAGGGACAGCTTCATTTTAGTGTGGTGGGAAAAGACTGAGCCCTGTGTCTCTCAATTGTGGGATGCCACAGGGCTCACTGTTCTATTTCTATTTCTATTTAGTATTTACATAACTAAAGCAAAATCTGTTGGTACAAGCCTAGGTTTTATTGGTATGTTGGTGATAGCCAACTTGACTCCCAGATGATTCTGTCAAAGTGCTGTTCATATATATGGAGGTTGTCTGGAACTGAATGGAGAGGAACAAGTTAAGATTTTCCATCAGCAGGAAGGAGTTGGAGGTTTGAAGGCCTCATAATTTCAGTGAGATTCCATTGTTAGGTCTGGAAAAGATTGCACTTTCCCAAATAGAGCTGATTTTGGGGATGGGGAGGGGTCCTCTTATATTCATAGCTCCTGCTTAAAAAGCAAGGGCAGCTGTGGCCAAGAAGACTTTTGCACAGCTTCATATTGTGCACCAATTGCAGGCTTTCCTGAAGTGGGAGGAAATAGTCATAGTCATTCATGCCTGAATTACCTCTTGATTGGACAATTACAATGCATGCCATATGGGGGTGCCCTTAAAAATATTTGGAAATTATATCAGGTTCAGAATACAGTAGCAAGACTAGTTTTAAGTGCATTTTATGGCCCCCCACAAGACATCTTTACTGCAAGAGCTGCACTGGCTGCCATTTAGCTTTCAGGTGCAATTCAAGGTGCTGGTTGTCACCTTTAAAAGCCTTCCATAGTTCATGGTCTTGGTATATTTAGGACTGCTTTCTCTAGTATTTCTGCCCTCTATAACAGGGGTCCTCAACCTTGGCAACTTTAAGACTTGTGGACTTCAACTCCCAGAATTCCTCAGCCAGCTTAGTCACCAAGATTGAGGACCCCTGCTCTATAAGAGATCTACCGTGGGACTTATTTCATATGCCCTTGATTGGAGACTGCCATTTCATGGATCACAGAAGCATGACCTCTCTGTCAGTATCCCTTCTATGGAATATTATCCCCTCACCCAACATTCAAATAGTTCCCTCTCAAGCTTTGAAAACCTGGCTATTTTGTCTAACTGGAAGGGCAGTTCTCTTATTACTATCCATCCTGAGGATGAATTAATTTTTTCTGCATGTGTCTACTAGATGTGTATTATTATAATATTTTGTTTCTAAATTTGATTTGTATTGTTTTTAATCCCAATTATGTACTGGTGAGTTGTGTGCTGCTCAATTGTAGGCTAATTGGAATGCCTTATAAACCCGGTAAATAAATAAACTCGCTCCTGCTAATAGGCAACTCAGTGCTGAGAGTTAATTGCTATTCAAGACAAATGTTCATAAATACTAACTTTTTAGTATTAAAAATGGTATTTGAGAATGTAAAATAGCACTTTCTTTGTAAGTTAGTTTCTCATAATTATTTCCTACTTTTATTATTGAAATATATTTTCAATTCTTCAATGAAAAGTTCCAGAATTTAGTATTGTCCTGAACTAAATGATACATGTATATTTGCAGTCATCTGAGATGACATAATTAAAGCTATTTTCCCAACAGCAATATGAAATACTAAGAACTCATTTGCATATGATATTATAACCTATCAAGAATTTTATTTTTCAGGTTTCATGATACTTGATCTGGATCTCCATCTTCAAATTCAGTTTATAAAATTCTTTGAAAATGGTATAGGCTGTGTTAGAAAATGGCTAGCTAGCATAAGGAATAGCAGTTACTAAAATGGCAAAATACCAAAGAAACATTTGATGAAGGTACTTGTATGATGTTAAAAGAAAAGCAACATATTGCCCAAGAACTGAATGGTGGAAGTAATGTCTAAACCAGTTGTCCCCAACCTTTCCTACTCTATGGACTGGCAGTAGTGGTGGCATTGGGAGGGGGACAGGGGATAGTTTCACGTGATTGCCTGCCACTTGCACAGCCCGGTTCCCTATGGACCGCAGCCTAGTACCAGACCATGGACTGAGGGTTCTCTATGGACCGCAGCCTAGTACATGGCCATGGACTGTTCATTGTTGGTTCTTGTTCACAATCATGTTTCAGATTCCATTCTTTATTCTTCCTTCTGCTCCTGGAATGCATGATTCTGTTTCATTCATTGTGACCTTTCCATTCCCACCACTTGTTTCTCACTGCAGGAACTTTTTCTTCTCTTTTATATATATTTTTTAAAAGTTTTGGCAAGTGGTTAGGAAACAACTGAGCTTTGGATTCCTTTCACTTTGAGAAATGCCTTATGTGCACGTGAGACTCAAAGGTGTGTTGTGGATGGAGGCCAAAGTTCAGCTGCTTTCTAGCCAGAAAAGGTGATTTTAGAAAATAAATAAATAATTTCTCTTCTCCAATTCTTCCTAAAATAAAATAGAGAAGGGAGGTTTGGTGAGCAACTAGGAAGATATGTTCCTATGCAATAAGGCCTATAAATACCATATAATTAACTTACAGTATATAAAACCAATACTTTCATTTAATGTAACATTTTGCAATAAATAGGCCGTGCTTTTTCTAATTTTGTTATGATGTTTTATTATTACTGCATGTAAAATTATGTATTCTTTTGGCTACAAGTCTTTAAAATTGTTTATCACTGTTTAACAAAGAATCATTTGGTACTCTGCTTAAAATGAGGAATGGATCTACTTACCTATATCCACCTGTTATTCCAGTTCTAATTTATTAACAAATTTGTATCACATAGATAGTCCTCCACTTATGACCACAATTTAGCCCAAAATTTCTGCTGCTGAGTGAAACATTTAAGTGGGTTTTGTCCTATTTTATGACCTTTCTTGCCAAAGTTGATAAGTGAATCTGGCTTCCCCATTAACTTTGCTTGTTAAAAAGTCACAAAAGGGGATCACATGACTCCTGGACACTATCACTATCATAAATATGAGTCAGTTGACAAGCATCTGAATTTTGATCGCATGACCACGGATCGGATGTTGTAATGGTCATAAGACTTTTTCCTAAAAGACTTTTTAAGCTTTTTATGAAAATGTGAACAATTACATACATTCTCAAACTTCTACATAGATTTAAGTATAAGACAATTGGAATTTATTTCCTGTTCTCAAATACACTAGTTCATTATTTATGCTTGAACTAAAAGGAAAGTGTTACTGTCTTACATACAAAGTAGTATATTTGATTGCAGAACAGTTGTGTAATGTTTTGGAACTGGTGTTATCCAATATTTCTAATTTTTTAAAACTGCATATGTACTATAATGATTCAAAAATAATGAACCCCTACAAAATCCACTGTTTTTGATTTAAGATTTTACTCCTGTTTTGTAGGTTTATGGGTGTCTGTGTACATCAAGGACAATTGCATGCCCTTACTGAGGTAAGTTGATTACCTCTCCTTCCTTCAACTTTGCAAAGTTTCTTATGGTGATGATAAACAATGTATTTAATGAAGTTGACTAGTATAGTTCTGACCTAGGTGCCATAGGAACAAAATAGTACTTTCGAATACCCCCCAATCCTTGGAAATTGTCTAAAATGATACTATTATTTATGAAATCAACAGTTATTAAGAAATCAAAGAATACTAGGAGGGTCACATGTTCATTTTCCCACTCTCACAAGGAGTTGTTTAAGGAAAGCAATGTAGTCTTGGTGCTGTGTTCATTTCTGAACACAAATCACATTGGTTCAGGTAATGCTCCTTCAAGGTTTTTCTGCAACTGCAGTCTCACCACCTTCTCAGTAGCCTTTCCCAGAAAGAGAAAATTGAATAAATCCATAATTCTTCTGTATTTTGGGGTAAGAGAAGGACCTTTGAGGAAGGAATGTACCCAAAACATCACCTTCAAGACAGGCAGCATCATCTGTTTTTCCAAGGATGAGTTCACTATCACCCTGGACAAATTATTCAGTTACCTCACTAGTGATATTTTATCAGCTAGGAAGAACAAACATCCAAACCATTGATTGCAGAGTTTATATTAGAGAGAACATGTCTACTTACTTAGGACTCAAAGGTTATCCCAGATAACCTTTCAAAAAGTATTTTTTTTTTTGTTACTATGTTAGAACTTGTTTAGATAATGTCTATTTCTGAGTAGATTAGAGCAATTTTATTCTCCAGATGCATAGAAAATTCCCTAGAACAGCTCTAAAACTATTTTTCTAACTCATCCTTCCCTTGTAGGGCCCAGGGCTCTCTCTCACACACACATACTACATTCATGTGAGTGTGTGTATGTATGTGTAAGTATCAGTTAGTGATTAGGCAGATCAAATTTTATAGAATGATTGTAGCTGCTGTATTTAATCTGGCATGAACACATTTTTAAGTTTCTTATCAAAATAGAAAATTGCTGTCATTGTGGTTGAATCATTTTTACCACTTCAGATTATACCATATGACATTGAACTGAAATGTTTCTTAAATGCAACACAATTTTTAGAATACAAGGAGGGATATTAACATTTAGTAGCTACTTAGCATTTCTATAAATGGCTGTATATCATTACTTTAAGTAGTATTAATACACAGTTGCAATGCATTTTGTATCAGTCTATATAGATTCTGTTTTTTCTGTTTTATGGATTCTTTTTTAGCCATTCTTTTAATGGATCTTCTATTTTTATGTATGATACTTTGCAAAAATATGAACAGCTTCTTCTATTCTAAGCTCCTTACATTTCTGATCTGTCAGAAGCCTGGCAGCCCATAATAAAAGTAGGATAAAATGCTTAATTTAGGCTTGTAGGCTGAAACATTAGGAAGATGCTTTGAGACTTTTTGATAAGGCTCTTTATATTCAGAAAATATTTTGAATTTGTGATCACGTAATCTTAATTGGATGTTTATTCACTTATTTAATATGCATCTCATCTTGTAGTTGCATACCCTTGTCTCTCCCCCCCCCAGTTATCTATTTGTTCTGCTGCCATCATTAAATCTCCTTTCTAATTTTCAAAATATCTAAAATAACAATACTAGGTAGAATATGGAACAAGGTATAGGTTGGAACAAGCACTTTGTTAACATAGAAACAAGAGACAAGTTCATTTACATGCAATAATTTAAAATGGGTTGACTTCTAGAAAATACCTTACTAGTCTATCAATACTAGCCTACCCTGATAATAAAATTATTCTATTTTCCTGACCGTAGTATGTATTCTGAGGTTTGGGATCTGGGCTTCTTTGAGTTTAATCCGCCTCCAAAATCCACTTCCAACCTTCTTTTCCTGGAATATAATCTAGGAGGAGGTGTCCTGCATTGCCCTCTTTTGACTGGCTGTTCTTCCCCATTGCCTCAGCTATCCCACTCTTTTGCACAATGAAAATATCTTTAGACACACTTTTCTCTTAGCAAACTCATTGTTTCCGAAATAGTGTAAGGACAAGTAAAGTAGCTCTTTGATTAAGAAGCCGTCCCTTTATTAGTCAATTGTAGGTTATTCTTTTGTAATATTTGTGGATATTTGTGAGTGTCAGTTATAGTTTAGGACTTAGTGAATGAAAATGAAATGTTAGATTTTTGTTAACCAAATATTTTTCAGTCACCATTATGGATTGCATTATTTCATCTATCAACAATGCTATGATAATGTTTTTGGAGTTCCCAGGTCGCCTTTCATCTAGACACTCAATGCTTCATTTTAGCAAGATTGCTTTGTATGTAATGGTACCCATAGACATGGAAAATCTTATTTAATAGACAACCTGGTAACCCGGAGATATTTTAATTTCAATTCTCAGCAATCCTTACTAACTGAATATTGTGGGAGTTGTGAATATTTATGTTATTAAGAGTTGTTTAACTTGATCAAAGATCTCTGAACTTTGTGGTTTTTCCTTTTCCGTATAGTTTGCTTCTAGTTGCTATTGTGGAACTAGAAGGTTCCATACTGATTTCTGCTTTGGTTTCCAATTGCAAGGTGTAAAAGCAGGAGCTATGTTCCTATTTTATTTTTTGGATTATGGTTTTCTTGCATGTTAATTTTAGTACATTTTCCATGCATCTGTTCATTAATTGTAAGAAGTCTTACATGTAATATTGTAATAGGAATTTCACATTTTACATTTGTAAAGTGAAACTTCAGCTTGCAGAACTTAACTGGCATTGGGATTCTTTTGTAGAATGTGCTTATGTCTGTTTTATTTAATGCGATAGGATTTTGATTTTTAAAACTTCCAATCATAAGTCACTTTTGCAGTGCTTCTGTAACTTTGAGTGGTCACTAAACAAATGGTTGTAAGTCTGCCTGTAACCCATCACACATATTTTATATCATGTAGGACAAACGTTACGAGGATTAAAATTCTTGTAATGAAACTAACAGAATAACAAATGGAAGGGACCTTGGAGGTCTTCTAGTCCAACCTCCTGCTCAAGTAGGAAACCCTATATCTTTTCAGATAAATGGTTGTCCAGTCTCTTCTTAAAAAACTTCCAGTGTTGGAGCATTCACAACTTCTGGAGGCAAGCCGTTTCACTGGTTAATTGTTCTAACTGTCAGGAAGTTTCTCCTTAGTTCTAGGTTGCTTCTCTCCTTGATTAGTTTCCATCCGTTGCTTCTTGTCCTGCCTTCAGGCGCTTTGGAGAATAGCTTGACTCCCTCTTCTTTGTGGCAGCCCTTGAGATATTGGAACACTGCTATCATGCCCCCCTCGTCAAAAGTAATTAAAAGTTGCAGTTGCTAATGTACTTTATTAAAAAAAACTATGAAAGTCGAAGAAAAGCTTAGTTTGAAATGAATTGGTCCTTTTGGGGGAGCTATTATTGTTTTAACACCTCTTTATTTAGTTACTTGACTTTTTCTCTGCCATTAGCTTTTCTTATTTTTATTTACTATAAAGGTCCTAAAAGCTAGCTTCAATTTGAAAAGGATGACAGCCTATAATCATAATATGGCATATAATCCTCATTGTATTTTCAGAAGCTCTATAAGAAAATAATTTTAGATTTTTGGCTAGAAGGAGAAAAGAGGTAGTTTTTGTAGGTGCTTTCTCTCCACCAATGCATTTGTGAGAAATGCCTCCCATAGAGCATGGCCTTTGACAGAAAAATTTCTCTACTATAGCAAACTGATGTGGAGATTGAGGGAGAATGCTTTCAATTTCATTTGGGGAGGGATGTGCACACTTATAGAAGTAGCACACAGAACTTCTGATAGGGAAAAGAATGACAAAATTAAAGAAATTTTTCTCTCTTCAACTAGATGGAGGGTGTGTGTGTGTGTGTGTGTGTGTGTGTGTGTACATACACACATACATACATACATACAATAAAAATAAATACCTACGAGCACCAGGATAATATCAAACTAGAATTTGTGTAATAAAAATACTGAGCTTTCGTCAGCCAGCACTGGTATCATTAAAAGGGGACTCCCATTGACTTGCTTTCGTGCTCTGATGATGTCGCCAGTGCTGGCCGACGAAGGCTCAACATTTTTATTAAACAAATTCTAGTTTGATATTATCCTGGTGCTCGTATGTATTTATTTTTATTGCATGGCTTTACCCAGGATTCAAATTTTTAACGTAACTAGAGACATATATAAAATGATTTTATTACACTTATTTTAACCCTTGTAGCACCATTGCAATGAATGTGGGAATTGTGAGACAAAAGAAACTGGTAAAGTTTTTCTGAAGTATTGGATATAGAAACAGTAGACAGTGTGACAATGGGAGGTCCTATTTAGCAGAGAGACATTCTGAGCACTGGTAAAAGTTGTTTTGATAGAGCTGGGAGTTGTGGATAGGCTTGTGTCTTTTAACACAGGCTTGTGTTTTGATAGAGCTGGGAGTTGTGGATAGGCTTGTGTCTTTTAATCCTTTAGAATCAAGTGATTTTTTTGGAAGATACATACAGCTTAGTTTGCATTGGATCAAGGAAAAATCTGGCCCATGTTTACCAGTAATAAATGAAATATTTATTGTTGTATGAGAGTACTTTTATTTGAAACAAAGAAGACATGGTGTAGTTTTTTAAAAAAAAAACAGTATTATTTTTGGCTTGGATACTGTCTCCAAATGATTCAGATACTTTAGTAGTGAACTCTCTTGAGATCCTAATGCATATTTCATGAAATTATTTTTAGTAACTGTCATGGCCTTCTGGAAAAAATGAACAGAGTTTACCACTCTTCCTGCATAATAGAAGATATTACTGATATGTGATGGTCTTTTTCTTATTCAGGATTTATCTATTAAATGTACACGTAGGCGTTTGATTTAAGAAAAAAAATTAAATGACATAGTTTTCACAAAAGCACTGCTGAAGGGTTTGTCATATTTCTCACAATAAACTAGTAAGCTCTGATCCTCTGATTCCGGAGGAAGGCATGATAGAGCTTTAAATGGTAAAGATCTTCCTCT